GAGCCAGGATTTCAGGCTTAGGGCAGATTTCTAAGCATGGCTGCAATTTTAAGCATGTGCAGATTCCTATTAGGCTCGTGTCCCCCTGCCCTGAGCTCCGTTGCCTGCAGTGGGGACCTGCAGAAGTACCTGCTCACAGAGCCAGGATTTCAAGCTTAGGGCAGATTTCTAAGCATGGCTGCAATTTTAAGCATGTACAGATTCCTATTAGGCTCATGAGTGTGCCTGACTGAGAAACTGGTGTGGAGTACCCAGGTACCACATTTAGGGAAATTTTTCCTGTTATAACAGCACCTCTGTGGCACTTCTTTTTACTAATATTTACAGGATTACCTAACTCTCCATTATTTCTATCCTTTTGAGGTTTACTGATGGACCACCAGAAGGCTGCTCTTTTCTGCGAGATGACAGGTTCAGGCCCTCATAACTCCTCACACACAAATGCAGACCTCTTCCTTCCTGGTGCACCATGAACAGAGAGGAGTTGCAAATTATTTTTCTATTTCAAGGAAAGCCGTGTTGGCAAAACAGACGTTTTACCAGTCAAAGGACTAATCCTGGTATTACTTACGTGTGATACAAAGCAAAATGTGTGCCACAAAGCAGAATGTGTGCCACACAACCACCAGACTGAAGGCACTACGAAGCCTCGGAGGTACGAGAGCACTGGCTCTGTAAGTGCCTTGAAGAGAAAAGGGCTGTCCCCCTGCCCTGAGCTCCGTTGCCTGCAGCAGGGACCTGCAGAAGTGCCTGCTCACAGAGCCAGGATTTCAGGCTTAGGGCAGATTTCTAAGCATGGCTGCAATTTTAAGCATGTGCAGATTCCTATTAGGCTCGTGAGTGTGCCTGACTGAGAAACTGGTGTGGGGTACCCGGGTACCACAGTAAGGGAAATTTTTCCTGTTATAACAACACCTCTGTGGCACTTCTTTTTACTAATATTTACAGGATTACCTAACTCTCCATTATTTCTATCCTTTTGAGGTTTACTGATGGACCACCAGAAGCAATGCATGGTGAATGATATTTCTCTTTAGTTTTAATAGTTTATCATCCGCTGTGAAAATGAACACTGGAACTAATAATACCTCCACCCCAGCAACTTCTGCAAAACAACACAAACCTCACAATCTCTTTCAGCACACCACCAGGAGATAAAACCCCTCTATTTCTTTAAGAGGGTCGGTGGTGTCCTCATCTAATTGGAATGGAATGTTATCTTTTCCAAATTTGCTAAGTCAGGCTGGCCTATTAGTCTGAAACATTCAAGTTACTTCAACTATAAATTAAAAGAATCAGCAAGATTTTTATTGGCAACTGAAAACTAAACCACAGAAGCAGAGTTAACCATTAAAAATTGCCTGATTGTGGGTCTGATCCTACCATTCAGGACTGGATCCACTGCATCTGACCTCTGTCTGAGAGAAGTACTATACGACTGCAAGAGATTTGCAGACTTGGATCCTATTATTAACAGCTCTGAGTACGTATATGAGAGAACGACTTTAAATTTTGTGAATTGCATTTTCTGGTTTAGATGCTGTACTGCTGCTAAGCAGTTAAAGAGTATTCTACATGGTCACCCATACCACTTCCTGTAGCACCTCTCTTTTCTTCTGACATCTGCCCCCCTTCCATCCTGCCCACACCTCTGCCAAATTCAAGGTGATGAAGGTGATGAAGACACAGACACGTATATGGAAAAAAGAACTAAAAGTGGAAAGCAGAAAGTGTCTCTCAAAATATAAAACTTGTTCATGGGTCTGTACAATAATTTCTCTTAAGCCACGTGGATCATCATTAATCGGTCTCTCCTAGGCATGTAAGTTCCATTAAGAGACTTCCAGTAGGCGTTTGATTTTGTTCACTGTTCTTCCCAAACAACTTTGATTTTGAGTTATAATGACCTTCATTTCTTCTGTCCTATCACAATCTTATTCTGGACAGATAACATGGCTCATAACAGGAACCTTCTAAACTCTTGAAACACGCAGTTATGAACAAATCCTGACCCTGAAGCTACTGAAAGTGCCTTGGTAGCAGAATTGGTTCTGACTCCCTGGGTCCGAGGTCTCTGCCTTAAGATAAGGCAAATAACGGGTCCAAGGGTTTATTTCAATTGCAACCTCACTCCAGGTCTTGTACCAGCCATCAGTCAGCTCGGTGAACTCAGCTGCTGGAAATTATGTCACCCATTTCTGCCTCCCTAAGAGTCATTTAATGCTCATAGAGATCATGCAGCCTTGTTTGCTGTGAGATTACTTGCAGTACTAAAGCAAACTCATTTGCAGCTCACCTGGATATCTCTCTGCTAAACTATAGTTTCAGCTCAGTTATTCAACTACAATTCATTCACCTATCTGGGTGCAAATATTCAGTCGTGAGGAATTTGATGGCACTAAAGCAGTACTGCAAACATGGCAGAGTTTCTCATCAGTAACTGTTCCCAGTTCGATAGAAACAAAGCATCACCACAGCCCAGGTCACTTCTGCTGGTGGCCTTTCAGATATATTTTATCATTGAGAATAAAGTAATACTGTATTTCTGGTATTACTATATTATTTCATATTTCTACCGTACAACCCAAGTATATGAGAAATGGTAGAAAAAGGGAGTTTTGAATCTTGCTGTATCTTGTGCCAGAGCAAAGACAACAAAAGTATTTGGCTCTTAAACCTGGGAATCAAGTATGAACCTTCAGGTTTTAGCGGGGAAATGAGGAACAGGGGACATCTATACTGCTTGTTCAGAGGTTCAGGGAGAAGGTCACAAATGGGAAAGAGGAAATCCAGTTGCTCTAGGGTTGACTCTTTTTCCAGAAAGAGAGTTTGAGGAAGCAACCAAGGCCTAGCACCTCTTCCTTGGGAGCATGGAGGAGGAGGGAGAGACGGGCCTTTCAGCCCCAAGAAGCCCTCCTCGTCGGGCACCTTGCCCCTTCCTGCTCTCCCTGCTGAATGAAACCACAACCAATTTCTCCATTTATGATGTGTAAGATAGGTGTATTAAAATTCATTAAGTAAATGTTCCAAACCGTTTTTAAAATCTATAGTATTTCTTTCCCTGAAATTTACTCCCTAGGACAAGTTTACTCCACAACCACTCCTCTAAAATGAACACCATGCCCTTCCTGCTCTCCCTGCTGAATGAAACCATGACCAATTTCTTCATTTATGATGTGTAAGGTTGGTGTATTAAAATTCATTAAGTAAATGTTCCAAACCGTTTTTAAAATCTATAGTATTTCTTTCCCTGAAATTTACTCCCTAGGACAAGTTTACTCCACAACCACTCCTCTAAAATGAACACCATGGAGATTGCACCTTAATATTTTCTGCCCTGTTTCTTAGAGGATCTAATTGCTTGTGATGTTGGTATATTCAGCCACCCAGAGAGAGAAAAATGACCTTCCTTAAATTCAGAAAGATTTCTTTCTTACCTATGTTCATTTTTGGACTTCCAGCTTGAGCTGTTTCTCTTGACTTGGTTCCTGCCATTCAGTGAAGTGATATTCAGCGTGCTTTCGGCAGACGTGAGGTCTGTTCAACATGAGCCTGAAGAGAAAGAAATAGAGAATGTAAGTGGCCAGTACTCAAATAAAAATAAAGGTACTTCGGCAGACGTGAGGTCTGTTCAACATGAGCTCTGTTCTGACATGAGCCTGAAGAGAAAGGAATAGAGAATGTAAGCGGCCAGTACTCAAATAAAAATAAAGGTACCACAGACTTGACACAAACAGAAGGTGGGGATGGAAGGAGAAAGCCAAGCCATATTCATACACTTGACACAAACAGAAGGTGGGGATGGAAGAAGAAAGCCAACAGTGAAGTTAGGTGTCAAACATAGAAGGGTGGTCTCCTTAAGCTCTGAATTGTCCAGTTATGAAAACATTTCTCTTGAAGGAAATTCACGTCAACTCCTGCTCTGACCTGGCCTCTGAGGAAACTGCTCTTCATCATCTACACAGCCTATGGCGACCTGCCTCAGCTTAGTCACCTGCACGACCTGGAGCTAAACCCTACGAATATGCCCACAAATACTATGTGCTGGTTTGCTGTTATTCACTACATTGCCACAAAGCCACAGCATAATGTGAAAAATCACATTTGACCGGGCTAGGAAAGACTATCTATTTTGCTAGGCCTGCATTCTTATATAGAAATCTGTAAGCTCACGTCTCCATCTGTGTCCTATGAAATCACCTCAATTTTAATATTCCTTTGAAAGACAGAATTTGTGGAAAAACGATGAGCAATTTTCAGGAGCAGAAGAGCACTCCAGGGCGAGGGAGGTGTAAGTAGCTTTGGGAGAAGCTGAGTTTGGCCCCTGCTGTGAGCCCCCTGTCCCAAAGGCCTGAGGAACGCACCCTGCTCACCCCAAATGCCCTGTGTTTCAGCTGGAGGCAGCTCTCACAACACATTCAGTCCCTCCAGCACACACTCCGGCCCAATATCCCCTCCCAGTGGGCTGTGTTTAACCCACACCTCAATCAATTTAATCCTCTATTAATTAATAAACCAGTTGTGCTTCTCTCATTATGAACAAAATACACCATGATTTGTATCTCTAGGCGTGTTTCAACACAAGTCACTCTTCTCATAGCTCTCACTCACAGTTCTCTTTTGTTTTGTGGTGTGTTTTTTTTTTTTTAAATACCTGTAGGAAATAGCTGCCTGCCGTGGGGAAGCCGAGGAGCGCGCCCCCCCCCTAAATCTAACCCCCCAAAAAGTTGTTCGCTCGCCCTGAACCTACTCCCCCCGCCCCCCGAAACTAAAAAGCAGCCTTTAAAATTTCCCCCTTGAGTCACTCCAGCTGCTGTTGTTTGCGGCGAGGAAAGCTCCGAGTCGTTCGCGGGTCCCCCGGGGGTGCGGGCGGAGAGAGACGAGGCGGGACCGGGACTCGAACCCGCCCCGGGGCGGTGGCAGCGGCGGCTCCGCCCCGGCCCGGCCCTTTATAGCGCTGCCCTGAGTCCCCTCCGGCACCAGCTGCTCCGCCACCGCCCGGCACCCACAGCCAGAGCCGCAGGGACCAAGGGGGCTTCTGCGCGGGTAAGTGCCTTTAGAGCAAAACTGGGATTTAAAAGCGAAAAATGCCAGGTCGAAGTCGAACAGAATGAACTGATTGCCCTAGCAAAACTGGGATTTAAAAGCGAAAAATGCTAGGTATAAATCGAACAGAATGAAGTGGTTGCCCTTTAAATTGAAAAAAATTAAATATGTATATATATAATTAAAGCTCTCCTCTGATGCAGCATTTCAGCAGTGGGGGAGATCTCTGTGCTGCAGCGTATTGTGATTTTACTGCTTTTTGTGATGCTGTGGTTGGGCCTGAGAAACTCCTTATGGTAACAAATGGTAATTTGCTTGCACAGATGCCAAATATGCTAAGAAATAATTATTCTAATATGAACAGTGATTAAGGAGAAAATATATCTGTGGAAATCTCAATCTGAATTTTCAAGGTGTGTGTGTGTCTGAGTACCTGGGGCGTGATTTGCTCTCTTGCATCACGAGGGTAACAAATGGTAATTTGCTTGCACAGATGCCAAATATGCTAAGAAATAATTATTCTAATATGAACAGTGATTAAGGAGAAAATATATCTGTGGAAATCTCAATCTGAATTTTCAAGGTGTGCATGTCTGAGTACCTGGGGTGTGATTTGCTCTCTTGCATCATGAAAACTGCTCACAAGTAAAGGCTGCATCTGCATTAGCAGTTCAGTTTTGATTGTGTCAGCTTTTTTTTTTAAATGAATCCAGGGATCTTCTCTATTCCCCGTGGTTGGGTTCACACCACCCAATGGCTTTAGAGTACGTGCACTGTGTTTCTCCTGGATAAAGCCAAGCGGGGAGCTGCAGGCGTTCAGTCTGCAGGACCAAGCTAGAACTAGTCTAATGTAAAAGCCTGTGAAGCAGGTTTTCAGCTCCAGCTCAGTTCTGCATATCTGCTCCTACTGCATTGCACTGTTTGCTCCTGTAGATATAACTAAGATTCTCACAAAGTCTTTTAAAAATCAAGTTTTTCAGTTTTCTAGAACTGAGGATGCTCTAAAAATAAATGCAATGAAAGTAATGAGATTTTTTTAAAAGACAGCAAACACTGGTACTTCATAGCTCTCTTTGCTGTCATTTTTACAAGCTATTTTTTTAACAGTCACTCTTGGGAAGGTTGCTGTAAGTGCTTGGCTACCAGAGCCAGCAGCATATAAGAACTGAAGACAGAATATGTTCTAAGCCTCTCTCACACTGTAAATAATTGAGGTAACATCAAGACCAGACTTTCAGGAGTTTGCAGTGGTCAGAGGCAGTTGCTGCGGTGGCCAGGCTGCTGTAAGTGCTCAGCATCAACGAGATGCAGTCAGCAACCATAGAGGTGATAAATAGGGAGCTTTCCCTTTCATACCTTACGTGTGGCTGTTCAGTGCTTTTGTTGCAAGGTTGTAATAATTGGTTTAAAATGTACAAACAGCTGGGCAGCAACCAAATACATCTGCCAGTTTCTAACTGTGTTAGTCCACACTGTAGAAATCGAGTATGGATTTTTCTAATTTCCCTTTTTCAGCTTTACTTAAACTCTAAAAAAAAAAAAAAAAAATAAAACTGGCTGTATTGCTAAATGTACAAAAAAAGCTTCAAATGATAGCATCTAATTTAATGTATGGAAATAATAAGCAGATATTGCAGTACAAATCAATGCTTAATTCCTCTGTCAATCCTGTTGCGACTTACTCTGAAACCTGCTGAGAACAGAAGCAAGAGAGCTGACACCCAAAGCTACAACATGATGATAAATTCTTCTTGTATTTTCAGAATCAAAATAATACGGAGAGAAGAGGAACGAAGTGAGAAGTTAACTAACAACATGCAGTTACTCATCTTCCTCATAGTAACCCTGGGCACACTTGTCACGGGACTAGATGCTGTAAGTTTTGAAACAATTGGGGGGGGAGGTGGGGGTTCACTTGGAACCACTTCTGGTTTTGATTACACTTCTGCTTTGGACAGTAGTTTTGCTGCTTTTGTGTGTACATATACATACGCTGTCATGTTTTTGAACCATTATTTTTTTTTCTGATTCTGCTCCACCCTAAGGTGTCTGTTAGTGTTCAGTTAGGGAAGACATCATGCCATAACCAAGAAATCTACCCTTTCTATTTTTCTCTTAATGCAATTTAAACCTGGACATTGAATACCAAGAGCTCACTGGTATTTCATCGGGGTGGACAGTGAGTCTTTAACAAACTTCCACCTCCCCTACTTGAAAGTGTGATGCTAAAAAAGGAGCAACATCTGAATTTGCTTTTTTTTTGACTAGCAACTTGTATGACTGTTGAAATCTATCAGCAGAGCTGTTCACCAGCATTATGGAATTATATTGTTACCATTACTTGTTTTTTTAGCTCAGACAAGCCCACTTGACCTCTGGGAAAGGTATACTAAAAGCTTAATCTTATTAAATTCTGTAGAGAAAGAAATATCTAGCCTGCAAAGCTGAGGCAGGACCTGAAGTAGAGGGCAAGAATCTATTGTTGTATAAATCTACTGGCTTTTATTCCGTGGCACAAATGTGAAGCATTGAAGTTGCCAAAATGATGGAGGCAGCTGGGGAATGTTGCATCTTTGCTGTGCTGCTCGGTGGCTGAGGGGTGGAGAGGGAGAAGTTCCCTTCCCCATTTTAGGGGACCATTGAGAGCTGCTTAGGTCCTCGTGGTAGAAATAAATGCGGTGTTGACCTGATGTAGTGGACCAGCTTGGTGCACTTCTTCTTTTTTTTTTTTTTTTTTTTTTTTGGTGTGGTGTATTGATTTTTTTTTTTCTTCCCCATTCTGCTTTGCTCAAGTAGAGTTCCACTTTTCATTCATGTCCAGATTCCACAGAGCAGGTTCAGTTAATAACTACATGCAAAAACTTAAACTGTTCAAGGTATGCAGTAGGAAGCAGAGTTTGGACTCATAAAAGAGAGTCAGATCACATGAAAGAAACTGTTTCCTTAAAATCCTTTTTTCTTTTCCCTTAGGTTTATAGCAGGAAGTCCTACAAGCTGCCATATAAATACAGCTCACCTCACAAGGGTAAATATCTGCCTCTTCTACTTGCACCTAAAAAATTTGTTACCCTGCGATTACATCTTCATGTGAGAAGGAAGACTCTTACTGGTACTTAAACACCTAAAACTCAGTTTGCAACTACATTTCACTCTTTACTTCATCAGTCAAGTGTTTTGCCTCTAATTTGCCATGTCTTTTGCTTGCAGATTGCCGTTGTTTGAATGGAGGAACCTGCATTACCTACTACTTCACTAGTGGAATTAATCGTTGTGTGTGCCCAAAAGGATACTTTGGGATTCACTGTGAAATAGGTAGAGTATCTGCCTGCCTTAATACTAACTAGATAGATTGAAAAGATCTAAAGACATGTAAATCATTAATATGAAATGCCCAGTGACAGTATTACCCATGAATAGTGACTAGATGTCCTTTAGCACTTTATGCTGACAGACTAAGTGAGGAGAACCAACTAAATATTGGTGCAAAATCAGGATCTCTGACTTTTTGTGTGTGTGTGTGTCCGCTTCTTCACTGATGTTGCCAACCTCACAAATGGTTCAGATTAGGGTGAAAAAAGTGAACTTGTTTGGGAGCACTCAGAACCAGAAGAACCGATTATATTGTGATGTAAACTGAATTGATTAAAGAAGCAATATGCCTGCTTTAAAGTGTAAGATAACTGATACTCAAAATTAAAACGGAACATATTCAATAAGAATATATAATCAGTCCAGACTTTGCATCCTCTGTTTTCAAGCGTAATGTAGGAACTTCTCATTAGAAGGATCCATACAGATTATTTCTCTTGGAACAATTATAAACACGAACATGCCGCTAACAAAATACTATTTTCTTAGACACTGCCAGCACATGCTATACTGGGAATGGGGAGGACTACAGAGGAATAGCAACAGAAGATGACTGTCTGCCCTGGGACCTTCCCTCAGTAGTCAGGAGGGGTCGTTACCATGCTCGTTTGAGTAATGCTTTGCAGCTGGGACTGGGCAAACACAACTACTGCAGGTAAGAAAAGCATCACTCTTCCTGGGGTGACTTCTATTGTCACAGCCCCAGAACTGCCTCATGTGATGGTACATGATTTTAAAAAAAAAAAATAACAAAATCTTGGAGATTAATTTAGACTGACAATTTTTGGAATGTGACTCTTTGAAGCATCTAGAGTTCTTACCACTGAAGCTGATCATACTGCAAAATTCCCAGTATGCAACAGAAGCTGTCAATTGTTAATTATTTTCTCTGGAATATATTGCAAAAGAACACTTTTGGCCTTTCCAGGACAGTTAGAAATCTAAGATACTATCATTTTTTTAAATCTGTCTTTATGAAAAGAACACTTCTTTTATCTTCTAGAAACCCGAATGGAAGCAGCAGGCCCTGGTGTTACACCAAAAATGGATTTGCCATTCAAGAAACAGCTTGCAACATAGAGAAGTGTGGTAAGTAACATTAATTTTAAGACAAATGATTTTATTTTTTTTTTAACAGCACAAGGTTGATGCTTAGTTGTAAGTACATCTGAACAAAATTTCTCCTTCTACAGGGCCTGCATGTGGTCAAAGGAGCATGAGCAAGTACTTCAAGATTGTTGGTGGAAGCCAGGCAGAGGTTGAGACTCAGCCTTGGATAGCTGGCATCTTTGAAAACATGTGGGGCATGGACCGTTTCCTGTGCGGTGGCAGCCTCATTGACCCTTGCTGGGTGCTTACAGCAGCACACTGTTTTAACATGCCGTAAGTTTGCAGTTCCACATCCTTATTTGCAATTTTTTTCAATGGATTTCTTTGCTCACTGAGCAACCCTTCAAAATGTACCATAGTAAGAATGTTCTTTTCGTCGAGCAAAACAAGATGAGCGGCCAGTAAACTTTAAGCCTCTGGGAGTCCAAGTTGAGCAGAATGAGCTAGCAAGGCGTGAACTTTTGGGAGGGTTATGCAATTTAAATAATTTTAGCTTAAACTGGAGTCAGGGCTTCATTTTTACTGTAGCTGTTCTCAGAACTTAAAAGTTGTACTGAAAGGTGTTGAGCTGTTGAGCAATACACTTATGGGTGGCTTCTGTTGTTTTTCCTGTGGAAAACTGATCATCCTGCAGAGGACTCTCATTGCCCATGCCTGGTATTAGTAGCAGCTCAGTAGGTGTGCGTTGCAAAATGCCTGAACATCTATCTTAACCCCCCCAGGATGCTTTCCTTTAGAATACTGGATTAATTTTCAAAGCTGAGTAAATCTTGCTTTTTCTTGTCAGCATTAAAGTAAACATGACACAGAACTGGAGACTGGATCTAAACTGTACCTCAGTGTCAGAAATCAGTAGTCTTCATGAATCTTTTTACTTTCACTCAGGTCAAAAAGGCCACTAAACAAATCCATCTACAAAGTCTTCCTTGGGAAGTCCATCCTGAATGTTACTGACATGAATGAACAAGTATTCATGGTTGATGACATCATCTCTCACCCTGGATTTACAGATGTAACAGGTGGCAATGAGAATGATATTGGTAAGTGTCGTCTTGGTACGAGCCTTTAATTAATAACACTTAGGATGGCTAAAGGCTACATAATTATGGCACACAACTTTGTTTAGAAGTAGGACTGGAGATAAGATGAAGGGGAACAGGAACTAGGTGCTTCTGAGAACTGGGTCTGTACTGAGAAAGATTTTTCCCACTGGTATAAAATTGGATTGTGGCACACATTAGATGCATTACGTGGCACACAGTCAACTGTGAGCCTGTCTTGTCTCTGGTCCTGTACCAGGCATGACTTTTCCATAAGCACTGGTGGCAGCATCCCATTTCTACCATCTAATTCTGTGTTTACAGAGATCAACTGTACGTATAGTAAATGATGGAAAAAATGCAGGTACAGCAGGTTTCATCATAGAGTAGGGAAATGCCGTATGAGGTAGCATGTTAGCTGAAATCTTTCCTGAATTAATCCAGACTTTGGTAAGTCTCTCTGGCTTTCACAAGCTTATCCCTAAACCATCAGAGATGGGTTTTTGCAATTTGCACAGAATAGACTCACCACTCCTGCATTTGACACCTAGAGCTCTGCAACCCCTCCCAAATTCCTGCTGCTAAGGAAAAAGACTCAAAGAATGGCTTCGTAAGCCCTTCTGGTGAGGAGAACAGTAGACACTGCCCCTGCTTCAGCAGGGCAGGGGGTGCCATGCTCTACAGCCAGTCAGGAAGTTGAGGTTTTCCAACACCTGAAAATACACTCGCAGAAAAATTTTCCCAGAGCTATCAGGGAAGCTATCAGCTCTTCCTTTCAAGAAGGAAGTTCAAGTTGAAACACTTGCCAATTCCAGCACTGGGAAATGAGTTCTGTTACTAAATAACGACCCAGTGTCATTACAAAAAGCAATGAGAGGACCCATATGTAACCAGAACTAAACTTAATTGCAACTATTCCCATTAACTGTACCCTATACTCCTATTCTCAGAACTTGGGGGGTAGAACTTGCTTTACAAATCTAACTGTGTGTTCTCTGACTTGTTTCTTAGCTTTGATAAGGATAAGATCAGCTTCTGGGCAGTGTGCAGTGGAATCCAAATATGTCAGAACAGTCTGCTTGCCAGAGCGGAACCTTAACCTAAGAGACAATACCCGCTGTGAAATAGCTGGCTATGGAAAACAAGATTTTTGTAAGTAAATGACTTCTCTTTATAAAAGGTTTTATTTCC